AACATTGTCTAGATCGAGGAACTTGATAACTATTACTCAGATAGATATATCTGAATCGTTCGAAAGAGGCTGATACAAGAAGCTTCTCAAAATCACAAAACAAAAGACGATCTTCAGTACGAAGATGGTCATAGTGGACACCATGACAGATGGGAGTCTGTTGCATGTTTATAAACTCTACAGGGCGCCCATCCCGCTGAGTCCACTTGGCATTTATCTGTGTCCTTTAAACACGAATTTTTCAGTCATTTTTCATACCCATATCCAGTGGTTTTTGTTTGTTTTGATAGATTGCTCTGATGATTGCTTGATACCAGTAAAGTAGATACGGCGATGATGACATACATTATGTCAGGGTGGATATGATGTTCTCATCGAAATGACAGATAATGTATCGGTTGTTCCGGTCTGTTTTGATGCATATATCATAACATTATATTTATGTGATGGTGATGAATCATCGATATTTTCTTCTTCAATTTAGTCTTTACAAAGTGATGCCAATGAGGCGCAGAAGGCGCAATAATTGCGCTTTTCAACTTGGTTTTGCGCCATTGCGATTTTTCGGGAAAAATTGCGCTTTTTATTACTCGTAGGAGCTGCTTTAGAGTTCGCAATTTCCCGAAAAAAAAAACAGCAGCAATTTTCATTGCGTGCCTACGCACTTGTGCCATTTTGAACAATTGTCGCAACTTCTCGTTGCATTGCAGGAAATGCGATTACGTCCGTACCTATTTTTATTGGAAATATAGGGATTAAATGTTGGATTATCGGTATTTCCTACAACATGTATGCATGATTTGATGCATATTGAATATTATCACTGTTCTCATTGTTTTCTACCAAACACAAGTCCTGATAAGAATTATAACACAGATTTTTTGACGAAAATTACATTGCAAGCTAGATAGTAATTCCGATTCAGTGTAGAATAACCTGATTATCATTATTATAATTGCCGAAAAAATTGATTGCAGCAATCATTTGCATGTAATCAAAAATTGGAAACTGTAAATAAGCGGCAATGAAGACTAACAAGTAAATGTCTTGCGTAGCTAACTCTGTTGATTGATATATTACGACACGATTATTTAGAATAAATTTCACAAATCTCTGACTTGTGTGACAAAATTATCCATTAGGCAGTAGTAAACTAGCTTCATGAGCAAAATTTCCTTAATATTATTATTATTATTATTATTATTATATTGCGCTTTTCCATTAGATATTGCGCTTTTGTGTTGGTAGCATTGCGCTATTTGTTTCTTCAACACCGGCAACACTCCCCATTTGTTTCTACTATGCCCCCGAGCAGGGCCGATCCTAGGGTGTCGGCCGCCCGCGTGCATAAACCTAATGTGCCGCCCCTCTAGAGAATTTTTCATATTTTTTTAACTATAATACCTGATGACTTCATAACTTCAACTACTTGTACAAGGATAAGAAGTAAAACACAGAAAAAAAATGTAGACAAAATCTTCATGCGCCGCAGGCGAATTTTTTCTGAGTTCAAGGTCAAATGCTTTCAGGTAATAACTCCATTTCAGTGCATACCGGGAGCGGCCAAGAAACTCAGACAAAATTTTCCTATGGCAAAAAATGCGCCGCAGGCGAAATTTTTGTTGGGATTCAAATTCATCACATTAGTATATTACAGTTTATTGTAATTGATATAAAATGATCTGGAATCTGAAAATAAGAATAATAAGAAGAGCAAGTGAAAAGTATTTTAAATGGTGTCTGTAGTTTAACCAAGTGGATGTTCTTCAGATTTTTTGGGATTTTCTCTCATAGTCTCTTAGTAAGTAGTAGAAATTCATAAATAAGCTACCGCACAGTGATGGAACAAAACATCCTTAGGCGTCTGAAAAATATGCCCCTTGGTTATTGTTTCAAATAGAAATTTAAAATTTGGGAAGATAAGAATGTGTATAAAAAGTAGACATAAATTGACAATGGACCAACACACTATTTACTATCATTTTATTTATTCAAAATGCAGCCTGCGGCCGCCCCTTGTTTTGGCCGCCCGCGTGCGGGGCACGCGCTGCACACCCGTTAGGATCGGCCCTGCCCCCGAGTATACTGTGATACGAAACTAGGACGAGTCAGTGAGGATTTTCATAGTTGAAGTTCAACAGTTGTCAAACACACTCTGAAATAACATGATCTCGAATTTGAAAATATTCGAAGAGTTTTTTTATATGATTACCCAGTTCATAATCTGTCGTTATGGCGGAATTCACTCTGATGGTATGGGAAATGTGACTTTGTGAGTAAGTGCGAAAGAATTTGAGAGATAATTTTTTATGGACTAATCCACTCTTGTTCTCGAGAACCAACCAGAATTGACCATTTTCACAATCCCTCCTGTATTACAGCGATATTTTTTATGTACTAAAAATTATCGGACTTGCTCTACCAATACAGAAGCCGAATTGGCCCACACGTGACCAACCAACCTCGTTTTTTAGCGACCTAAATTGACGTTCATGAAGTCAGTTACATTTATTAGTATTTAATTTTGATAGCATCATGGATTTCTGTATCATCGCATTTATTGTCTGATTCAATCATGAAATATGAAATAGTCATACGAATACAACTCGTGATAGTATTTTTCCTGGAAATATTCGTCGATTGATAAACTCCAGCTTGCTGCTATGATTTGTGGTATTGAATATGATAAAAGTATATTTGAACGTTTGTCCTTGCTTCGTTTTTACGAGATACAGGTCAACTTTTGAGCCTATGGAATTTTTCTGAAGCGAAATGCAAAAAGAAAAATACTAATTCAGAAATACCTTCATTAGTCTCTCAAGCACGTACACAGTGAAACATTTTTGGGGTGTAATTTCAATCGAGTGGATTTCAGAAATAGCTCCAATTGAATAAACACTTAATTAACAATATTATATCAATATTGTGTACATTCATTATTCCAAATTTTTTGGGATTTTCTCTCCTCGTTTCTATAAAATAAAAATATGAATATTATTTCAATATACGTGTAGTAAGGACAAATCAGATGATTTGCCCCAAAATGTCACTGCGTTTAAAGAATTTTCCTATCAGAGAGCCTAAAAGAAAAATTCACTAGCTTGTCAGTGACAATTTGTATTGAAAAAATTTTTGGAGAAGGGAAATAAAGGTATATAGAAAAAATATCAAATTTTCACTTATCTTTGGACGTTTCGGGACCGGTTCTGCTCCCGTTTTCAACATAAGAAGAGATTATTTCGATAGCGAAGTCGTATAATGTCTTGAAGCTTTTCAGTTTTCAATGACAATTGGTGACGTTGGCAATCAAATGAGTTACAGGATGTTTTCATTAATTGATCTTGAATTTACCATTTTCATGTTCAGATTTTAGTAGTGAATACCATGTTCTGTCTATATCAACTGAACAAGAAGCAATGTTATTGTCTCCGTTCAGAAGAATGCAAGCAGATTCCTTGATTTTTCTCATTGAAAACTGAAAAGCTTCAAGACATTATACGACTTCGCTATTGAAATAATCTCTTCTTATGTTGAAAACGGGAGCAGAACCGGTCCCGAAACGTCCAAAGATAAGTGAACATTTGATATTTTTTCTATATACCTTTATTTCCCTTCTCCAAAAATTTTTTCAATACAAATTGTCACTGACAAGCTAGTGAATTTTTCTTTTAGGCTCTCTGATAGGAAACTTCTTTAAACGCAGTGACATTTTGGGGCAAATCATCTGATTTGTCCTTACTACACGTATATTGAAATAATATTCATATTTTTATTTTATAGAAACGAGGAGAGAAAATCCCAAAAAATTTGGAATAATGAATATACCACCTCCTCGATTAACCTACAGACAGTATTGTGTACATTGTTGTCAATTCACACCTTCAAAGTGAAACATAACACGGATGTGGTAGTTTAGAGGGTTTCTGAAATATCCATACGAAAGAAGTATGTCATTTCAAATTATGAGTCTTTGTCAGTCACCAACCAGACCAAATTTTGCCACCATCGAAGCTTTTATACAAGGGTGAATAAAAAAACAATAAATATGTTCACTTTCATGTTCATCCTGTATCTCAAAAATGCAACAAGACGTTTTTATGAACTATTCATTCTAGAATTTGACAAATAATTACCTCCAAAATGATTTCGCACTCAATCATTTACACCATTTACATACCAATTACCAAATGAAATATACAGGGTGTTTCATTGGGAAAGGTAAATAATTCAACTGTGGATAGGGGTCACTGAGGTGATTTGAAAAAAACCATGGTTGATGTGTCTTCGACTTTTTATAACCAAGATACAGGATGTTTCATCAATTTTGTCCATATCTTCATTGTCTCATAACTTTCCAACCAACCTGTATATATTTTTGAAAATTGGTACACTTGCTCAATCTACCCTGTGGAATTGATTGAGGCAACAACAAAAGATAATTTTTTTTGCTATATCTGAAAAGAACATCAAAATTTCTATTCAACGATGTGCTTTTCATTCGTGCACAGACCATTTTAACTATTCATATTATGTGCTCAAAATATTATTTCTGCTCATTTTGGGATACAAAATTGGAATCAGACGAGATTTATTCAGTATACGCGAGTATTACATTTAGAAGGAGTATTTCATATCGTTCTTTGTTCCAGACTTAGTTGCAGGTCCTGGACTTTATCTTTTGTTGTTGCCTCAATCAATTCCACAGGGTAGATTGAGCAAGTGAACCAATTTTTAAAAATATATACAGGTCGGTTGGAAAGTTATGGGCAAAATTGATGAAACATCCTGTATCTCGGTTATAAGAAGTCGAAGACCCATTAACCATGTTTTTTTTTCAATCACCCCAGTGACCCCTATCCACAGTTGAATTATTTACCTTTCCCAATGAAACACCCCGTATATCATCAAAGTCATGTTTTCATTGATAGTGTCTTGTAAAGTTTGCCCTTCTTCGTAAGTACGTGAAATAGAATTTATTATATGGGATTTTTCATTTCCAGATACCTTTGGTTGACCTAGCGGCCAATGTTACATTAAGGAATATAATCATATCAGAAGCACATAAATATTGTTCATCACAACTGGTAAGTTCTTTTATATAATATATTCGTTTTTTCCTATATCCTTATGAACTCCAAATTATTTTCACTGAATATAATTATGTATATGTCTGAAAGTCATAGTCACAATTTTGTGCCAATGAAATCAGAATCAGTCGGGAGAAATCCATGAAAATATGTATACCTACTTATATTTGAGAATTCGTTTTTCATTTGAAATAATTTCAAGCACTGCATTGTTGCTGCTTCTATCAAAGAGTAGCAACAACTTTGGTATTTCATTGCATTTTTTCTATCGGAAATGATTACTATCCATTATCGGCCAAAACGGTTCACCTGTCCCTATCTCAACTTTTGATTCACTATTTACTGATATTTAATAGGAACAGATACAGATTTATCAGAATTCTAAATCTTGAACCACTAACCAAACCGATTTTTTACACCTCGACACGTGTTTCGCTAACTTTGTTAGCTATCTTCAGGAGAAAATTGAAACTAAATGCCCTATCCTATTGGGCTACTTATATGCTAGATATATGTTCACCCAACCGTGAATAGACAATAACCGCCAAGTTATTGTTATATATTCATGGTTGAGTTCACATGTTAAACTTGGTCTTATATCACTAAACTATACAGAGGGCTTAATGGGATAGGTCCATTATCCTTATTCATTACTCTATTACTATTCTGAAATATCTCTAAGCTTCCATATGCATCTAATTATCTAACATTATTAACTTGCTCAACTAACTAACCTCAAATTATTTAGTGGTAAAACAGTGTGTAGTGTATCATCGTGCCAAATGTTCTAGTCTTCGATATATAGTACTTCATACTAAAGTCAGCAAAGTCAGATGACGAACAGTACGAATAAACAACACAAGTGCATAGGTCATCGATCTGCTCTATTTCAGTCATTCAGGTTGTTTTTCATGAATTCCTTTCGTTTTTTCTTCGTATTCAGGAGAAAGTACTTGATTCTCAATTCTAGATTCGATATTCACGTGATCATTGGGATCTCATATAGGTAGTTTCACTGACATAAATATATAGATGTATAGAAAGTCAAATGGTGTTATCACTTCCGATTGAAAGAAGTTTCGAAATCTGTCAATATCGCCTACTTTGTAAAAATAGCGAGGCGTGGGAGAATCTTGCTAAATTTCCGAAGGTTCAAACCTTTACAGGCATCATGACACATTCCTTCGAGTTCACATTTTCATTTTCACAATTATTTGTTCAAATGGAAAGGGTGCGTTATATTTTCGACTTTCAATGGTGAATTCATCAACGAAACGAAGTCCCAACTCAAGGAAATCCTGCATCATCAACTCTTCAGGTTCCGAAAGAAGGAAAACACATCCTTGAAAGTCTAGTTCAACTTCATAATAAGATTCAAAACCCATTTTGAAATTTTTCAAGAAATTGTCCATCGTTCACGCCATCTATCATCGAATATGAGTACCCCACGTTAGGAACTCGCATTCAATTGTTTATATCTAGAGCTAGTCTGACAAAACAATTGAAGAGTGGGCATACCAGAGAAATTATAAACACCTCAATAAATACTATCTAAACCGCTAATGCCATCATAAGAAAGAAGGTGAGGCACTCACAAGATTGAACTGGAGAACATTGATCATGCGTGTTTAGAACCTGAAGTATATCTTACTCACTCTTACTCATAAGAAACATGACCCTCTGATTGCATTGATGTATCACACTTGAGGTCTACCAGGAAAGATTAGTAGTTCATTGTACCAGTATATCACCTGACGAAGCTACTGTGTTAGCGAAACATGTCGTGTGTTTAAAAATTTTGTGGAAATCTTATCGTTTGTGAAGTTTTTACATTTATCATGGATTTCCATCAAGTAACGGACGAGTCAATTCAAGAAAAGATTACTGAGTTATGGGGTGTTCAAAATCGGGATTTTTCAACTCTCGGATTTTTCTGTGTGGAAACTATTCATTATCGGTCAAAACGGTTTTCTGGTTCCCTATCTCAACTTCTGGTTAACTTTCTACTGATATTCAATTGGAACAAATACAGAGTGGTTCAAGATTCAGAATTCTGATCACCCTGTATCTGTTCCAATTAAATGATTTTATCGGATAACTTTCGAAGAATCAAGTCTAAAAATACGATTTTTGCTCTGAGGTCTGACGAATCATTTTATGAACAGATTTCTAAGGAGCAATTATCGCTATCACAGTGAAAACAATTTTAAACAATGAAAAATTGCCTCATCCATGAAACCCCGTGTTAGAGGTAAATTGGAACACAAGATTTCATCCATCTAAAATGTTATGTTTTCATTTTCTGACTAGAAAAAATTATAAAGGAGATCTTTATGGGACACAATATAATAAGCAAAATTGAAAAAGAATTTATGAGGGATTTGGGGATGGATAAATCATTTATATCTATTTTCAACGATTTATTTCTTGAATATTAAAATACGAATACTGTGTTGAGAATCAATGAAAAACGACAAAAACTAAAGTGGTAGGTTACCTACTTCCGCCCCCAAGCGTCTTCGGTAATTCCGAGGCATCGTCCCATTCAACCCCTGAAAATTTGATTTTTTAGATCTTCAAAAAATATTAGAGAAATAAACATAACCTCAATACATTTTTTTCATCAAACCGTGGATAAAAAGCTACTGAAATATTCATCTTGTTGGAGCATATTTCTATCGTCAATATATTGTCCCCACGATATTTAAAAATTTCAATTCACTCACTTGTTTTCAGGATACATTTTTGTTGGTACCCGTGGATTCGTTTAGTTTATTCTACTCCAAACCAAACCGTCCAATAGTTCTGTGTACCAAGGATTTTTCACAGACCGATTGAATAATGACAACACTTTTAGGATGCAATTTCGAATTAAATATACCAAATGTCCCATAAAACCCCTGCAGTCCTATAATACCCCGACTACAATCAAACAATTGAATTCAATCACCTCGAATACTTCGGAGGCGTCAATAAAATTCGAACAGTTTGCAAAATACGTAAGTGATCGTTGAACTCAGGAGTTTCACAACCTGGCAACGATCTAAATAATCTGGAGAACTTTTAGCAAACAGAGCCATTCAGTCATCAATGCAGTAATCAAAACATCGGCAATCTACGATTCACCTCTGAAGTTTCACGGGCCGCTATTTGAGGTGATTTGAGTCACCTTTCGTGTCGAGCATCCCTTTCCCTGGACACTCCAGACGAGATCACCCATCCCGGACACATCATCCCCCGGCGAACTTTGTAGCAGTACTTTGAGTCATGTAGGTACCTATATTATTTGTTTGATTGTCAGTTGACCCCAAGGATAGGAAAATAGGAATCAGTATTCACTTCGAATGCTGCTAATATCGTAATTAGTCCCTTCAGGAAACTTCCAGTAAATCCAGGGATGAGGTTAGGTGTAGCACTAAAAAAGGAGCGTGTCGCACGTCACCGTAATAGGAAATAGGAGTTGTCTTCCGTTTTCCGTACACTTGATTCACTTCACTGGACTTTTAGTCACATTTGATTTTTTTATTTACACTTGATTCCTTTCACACTTATTTATTTTGATTTTGATGTGTCATTTGATTTGTTTCACCTTGTACACATGCAACTGTTTATGCATCCACTTAATTAAATTGTATTATCTTTATTCACATTCTCGTTATTTCTTTGCTGCAATTTCCTCTATGTTCAGGTCTCCTCTCGCATTGCCATTAGAACCTCCATATTGATCTAAACCTCCTCACGGAGGAATCGGCCATCCAAGAGATAGGGGGAATCGAACTTACCCCCGCGGTACAAAGGTAGGGAGAATCGCCCCACCTTGACGTAAAGAGGAGGCCACAAGCTACTCCGTGACAATATAGTATTTCAAAAGTTGAGATACGGACATCCGAGCCTTTTAGTCCAATAATTAATAGTTTCGACACAAAAAAATCCTGAAGTTGAAAATTATTGATTTTGAACACCCTATCTCTGCAATCATTCCCGCTAGACCCCAAGTGTGATTGTAATGATGGAATGAGCTCTCCAGGGAGAATTTGAAAATGCGATAAAATACAGGGTGATCTATTTGAGATAACAAAGTTGTTACTACTTTTCGATAGGAGCGGCAACACTGCATCGTCGAAAATATTTCAGATTGATAGACCAAGAGCAACTACTTGAGTGATCAAATTTTCAGAATGATTCTATATCCCGTTCTCTGTAAAAGTGTAAGGTACCACCGACCGTGACCCACTCTGTATATTTACAGCCCCTCTACTCCTAACTTCTGATCCATTGGAAGTGATTATGCCAAATTCAGGTTGCTTGAGAAGGACGAAAGTATTATTTTTTTACCAAATTCAGTTCAATATTTTTGTCAAATGATGGCCAGCGTATGCATGATTTTCCTTTATATAGGGTGATTCAAAATTCGATCTGAATATTTTAGGACATATTGTTGGGATCAAATGACATTTTCTTCATATTATAAACGTCCTAAAATTCACCCTTTTCAAGCTACAGCCACTGAAATTGAGACTGAAATAACGGATCAAATCTGCTCAAAATGGGTAGGCCCCTGTCCTTTTGAACACTCTTCATTCTTTCTTCAAAAATTATGTAAACCCAGTTTGGGGGGGTTGGAGGGGTATCCTCACTTTTATTGGCGGAAATGGGGTGCATTTTAGGACACATGTTTATATAAAGAAAAAGTCTTATTTTGATCCCTACAATACGTCCGTGAAATATTTACATCTAATTTTGAATCGCCATTTATATATATCAATGCGCTGAAAGTAGGTAACAACTCAAAGGTAACATATAAGAAGAATTCAGAGTTGAAAATATTGTTCAAGATTTCTCGATATCCTCCAACTAATGAAAGATGAAGAAATCGACGCAGTTCATGTTACAAAATATGAGTGGGTTCCACTTGTTTATTGCATTGTTTCTAAGTGTCATTTAAACTATGTGTTGAGTCTGTAAAAAGAGCGTAGGATTTTGGTATTGGTGAGAGTTTATAAATTAACTACTCGATGTTATCTTTAATAAGTGGATAGTAAATTTGTATGTTCTTATCTTGTTGCAGACTTCATTTTGGGAGTGCCTGAATGCGACATTCAAAGGTGAGTAGAGATAATTTCTTTAGTAAATGACGAATTTATGTTCAATGTTTTTTTTCTTTCGATTGTCATCGAATAAGATTGAGATCATCAATTCGATTCAGAATTGAATCAATCACATGTCACAATGATGAAAAATAATAAACAAACTACTGCAGGTGATCCAACACTCTATTTCATTGAAGCATGTTTCATAAACATATACACTGTGCCCAAGATAAGAAGGGCCAGTATGGTCATCTCGGAAACTGAAGAGATACAGAATTGGTTAAATGGAAGAAAAGTGGCGCGAGTGAAAGATTAACAAAATGAATTCAAAAAATATCTTATATGACAGATATTTCGAGATTTTCAATTTTATTTGTTTATAAAAAAACTGAAAATATATCTATATGGCAACTCTTGATGCTTTTCAATTTTGTATCATCGATTTTCTGATCCAACGTTTCGTCTTTCAGCAACAGTCATCAACTTAATTTTCATCAAATTATGCTCTGATATTTTGATGTCAGATTCAAATATCCCTTTCCATTCCGATTTCGACGCTATCTTTATCGCCTGGCGCGCGCGAAAGAAAATCGCTATAATGTCCGAAAAATATCTTGCGTACCTAGGGAGGAAAGCAAGAGGAGGTAGGTACGTGTTAGATGTTTTTAAACTTTTGTAGGTAATAAGTTATTGAACATATTTCCTTATATGCAATGAATTATTTCAGATCTTTCCGTTCTATAGAGGAACTATTACTGAGACTGATAAATTGACAAGAGTTGTTCAAAAAGTTTGCAATTGCTTTCTAAGCATGCATAACATCTTTTGACTGTTGAGATGTTCAAGAACCAGCATTCTTCTGAGTTCTCCTTATTTTTTGAAGGCTCTCTCATAAACATAGTTCTCGACATATCCCCAGAGAAATTAGTCTGGCGGGGTCACATCGGGTGAACGAGCTGGTCAGGGCCTTTCAGAATTCATGTTCATCACTCTATTCGTGAATCTGTCTGAGAGGTTATCTCTTGAAGCTCTTGGGTTATGTGCAGGTGCATATTCCTGCTTGAACTAACCTTTCTGAACTTCCACCAGTGGCAAATTGTCTAAAGATTCCTCCATATCATTTTGGAATACACTCAAATAATTCTTTCATAGAATTAGGAGAAATTCAGATGCGTATTCGTTAAATTACTTGATGATGGTCAAAATATGCTCGAAACGCATCAAAACCACAATATGTAGTATATTATCAGGATCAGACTGATAAGGGCCCTTCGAATCTGATATCAAAATATCACAGCCGTATTTGAACAAATGATGTTGATGACGTTGGATGAGACAATTAATGATTCCGAATTGAAGAGCATCAAAAGTTGTTACAAAGATGTATTTTCAGTTTCGTTCTACCTTCATTATAACCGTCAGAAAAAAAGGATATTTGGATATATAGTTTTTTGAGAATTTTTTTTTTTTTTTTTTTTTTTATCGATTGGAGCGCACGAAAGGGAATCCCTATAATGTTCAAAGAACATCGTGCGAAAAATCAGAGATTCTTGGAAGTCATTTTGTTGTTCTTTCCCTCGCGCAACTTTTCTTCCATTCAATCAAATCTGTTACATTCGTAATTTCCGAGATGCAATATTTAAGGCTTTGATAAAAATTCATGTTGGGTGCTGTTGAGTAAATATAGCTATAGGATTCATGTCGAGTACATGGACATTCTGTTTTCTACCCTTATTGCAAAGAAGAAGTTCAATTATTCAAACACTATACTTGCACGAATGAATTCAATGAGATGATTAGAGCCCAAACGTCACCCTATTCCATATTTCTAAAGAAGTGTTTAGCAAGGTTCTAAGAAATCCTTTTCCACTTTCCACAACTGTTTCGATTGAGTAAAATATCATATGTATAATATTATTTCTCTGAATGTTGGAAATGGCAATTTTTTATAACAACTAATATTAGCATTTTCGTTTGAAATATAGGTCCGTGATAGTGCACGGTAAGAAGTTGAATTGAGAAAATAAGATTGTATTCAAACTTGAGAATAACAAGGACAAATAGAATGCAGAGCCCTGGAAGCCTGGAAAAACCTATATAATAGGATAGCTATATGTAGGTACCTGGATTAACGCATTCGTAGAGTGAAAACTTGACGATGACCTCAAATAATAGGCTTTATCTAGTTAATTTGCATCTATATGGTTATTGAGGATTCAAAAATAAATCCATGTCGTTTCTACTTGAAATGAATACTTTATAAAAAATCACTGAAAAAATAAGTCGATTTCTATATTTGGATAGATACATTGTTTGAAGTTGAATAGATTGGTACCCCTCAGATCAACATCTCCAATGATTCGATATACCTCTAGAATGGTGAAATCACACACTAGTGCGGTAAACTAGATCTCAGTGTGAGTATAGTAAAAATTCCATCAATGTCGTAGAAAATACAAAAATAATGAAGAAACTTTTCCAATCATCTTGAAATTATCTCTTGATTTGACCAATCGCAAGCCAAAGACAATTTGTATTATCACGATTATTCCAGTCATTTCAAAATACACGTTTTTGATTGGTTCAAATATCTGTGTTGATAACATTAATGTAATTGTAAAAACTTCACAAACGATAAAATTTCCACAAAATTTTTAAACACACGACATGTTTCGCTAACACAGTAGCTACAAGTAGTAGTAGTACAATGAACTGAGTTCATTACATGTCGTGTGTTTAAAAATTTTGTGGAAATCTTACCGTTTGTGGAGTTTTTACATTTGTCATGGATTTCCATCAAGTAACGGCCGAAACAATAAAAAAAAAGATAATATTATTGTTAGTTTGATCAGAAATGAAACAAAATGGCATAGAAATAGCAGGCTGTCATGGACATGGATGTCATAATATTTTTATATTCAGGGATAAATAGCATTCGACACTATAAAAACTTCAGACATTGAGACAGGGGATTATTATTCCTTCGTCAAATATGGAAAATTCGAGATGGCGGATAAAATATGGCGGAAGAGTTTTGTAATTTTGACTCGATTCTAATCAAATTGGTATATGTGGGTGATTATTTCGTCAAAATTCAGAAATTCGAGATGACAAAACCTATATGGCGAACGAATTTTGTAATTCCAATCAGATTCCATTCGAAAATGGTACCTATCTATAGGAATCTTGTGATCGGAAAATAGGATTCCTTCGTCCAGATTAGAAAATCAAAGATAGCTGATCCAATGTGTCTTCTATAGATATCCAAACCAGAAAGAAGTAGAAAATTGAATATTAATAGTGTGTTGATGACTATTCAACAGAAAAATCTTTTTCTACAAATAATGTATCTAGTAAAACAACGTTTGCTTGGTCAGCTAGTGAGATAATAAGTTTCCAAAGTTTTGCTGTTTCATGAATCGATTAATCTAACAACATTGACATTTACAAGAGCACTGAAGGAACAGTATACATCTTTTCAGTAATGCTTAAGGAGCAAAATCATCTTGCTTGAGAAGATAGATTATCTTGCTAAAGAAGCAACTACTACGGCCAGAGACGTTATTGATGTGGTTGCGGATGGAACATTGGCAAACAATCTGTATTTCACAATGAGTTAATTTTATACATGCAACCCATGATCTCGCCTTTTTAGCAAGATGATGATAATCGCTTCTTGAAGGAAATGACATTGCTTCTCAAGCAACATCAAATAAATGCATACAGCGCTACCGTAGACATTCAATTGTCATATCCACCGGAATATCTACAAATGAGAAAATAAGATTAAATTATGTCTGACATAATTTCAGTCTCCAATTTCAATTAAGCGCCCACCAGTAGAAATGATAAATGCCTCTGTTGTCGATTGTACTTACTCGCTGCTCTTATTATAGGATAGGGGTACATTCGTTCTGAACTTTCGTGCAACATAAATTCTCTGATAAACTATTTTTCATCGAATATCTCACATCGAACATGTTAGTTTTATACAGGGTGGTCATACTTAGTAAGAAGCTACTATCAGTCAGGAGAGTCAGGGATTGCTTTCCTGATTATCAAGTAGTTCCATAGGCGCCATTTTTACGGGAATAAGGAAGGAGCAACACTGCCCAAGTTGAATCGAATCGAATATGAACAGTTACTTCGTGAAATATTATTATGCCTCAGAAACGATAATAGATTGTAAACCCAGGGACTTAAGTGGACTCCTGATGTGAGAAGATTGTAGCCCAACCCGAGGAAAGGCTACAATTCGCTGAGAGATCAAAAGGAACTTTAGTTCCGTGGTTTATACAGTGCCCGTCTGAAAGCCATTTTTCTCGTATTAATTCAGAACCACCTGTTATATCGCAACGAAATTTGGAAAGCTCAAATAGGAGATAAAAACCTTTTTCAAGAAGAGATAACAGCATGAATTTTCAAATTGGCCACTGAGCGCCATCTTGAATTATTTTTTTTAATGGAACAGCTCATATATATCCGAAATCTTCCTATAACTCTCAATAGTTTCATGTATCACACTTCACTACAACGTTCATTAGTTTTTGATGTATAAAACGTTTAAAATGTGGCATTTCAGCCATTTCAAACCCAATCAAAAACTCGAATGTTGATTTAAATTAATTTTGCTTTAGAAAAAAACCGTTGTCGCTACAACATCTTGATTTTTTTTACATTTCATAGCAAAAATGCAGAGAAAAATGCATGTAATAATTTGAAAATAAGAATGAAGGCTACAAAAAATCAGAAACACGAACTCAAAAATATAAAGTGTCATTTTGTAATTGGATTGTTAAATGTGGCATTGAACAGGTGCTATATATCAATTTCGATGTATCTCCATGTTCCAACCCCCCCTCTCCCCTGAAATTTTTAATCCCTCATGCTGAAGTGACTTTCTCGTTAGGAATTAAGATGAAACAAAATTTCTCAAATTTTTCGAGAAAAAAAAAACGAAAATATATATATTTCCGAACCAGAACTTATTGAGAATTTATTGGTTAGGTTTTTCG